TACCTAAATTACAGAATTTACCTATTTAATGTAAACAGACAGATGCGATCAGAGAGAAGTGTGAACTGAAAGACGATGTAGTAAAAAAAAATCAAAAATGCATGGTTTGGCCATTTAAAGAGGATGAAGGAAAGAAGAATTACAAAAGAGATTTATTGAGCAAGAATAAACGGAGATGTCGGTAAGGGCCACCCTAGACGGACATATTTCGACCAAATAAGCGACTTGCTGAATAAGGGTCAAATTAAAATTACCTGTAAATGGCGAGCGTGTATTAAAAGAAAAGATTGATCAATATGGAGTAAGGTAAAGAGTCTTGTTTGAATCGAAACATTTGGCGCTTCATTGTTTCTGCCTACCCTAATAGGAGATAGAACTGACAGATATGTATATTTTTTTTTTATACAACATAGAATGGCAAACAAGCTGACGGCCCACCTGATGGAAAATGGTAACCGTCGCCTATAGACAATGAGCAATAGCATAGACATAACAGAGTATACTGTTTCACCCATAATACCTCCTATGCGTTGCAATTCCTGAGGACTCGGGTGTTATTCCTCTGTACCCTGTAAATTCACGCCATATCCCACCCTTCAAACCAAAACACAGCCATCCAAACATCTTTGCAATGCGTTCAATAGAACAGGCATTTCACCACCCGTATTAATTAGGGAGGACGAGATGCCTGAACAAATGCACATCCTACATTAGTACATACATACATTAATGCATAAGTTCCCCTACATTTGTCATAATATACCAACTGACCTGCTTTGAACTTCATTTATTATTTTTCACTGCTACCCTGTTAGCATATATTGATAGCTCAGGCGGGGCAACCGTTCCATTTTTACCTAAAAAAAATATTAGTACACAAGATGCCGCGGAATACAGATAAAACTGCGCGTTACTAGTAGTCCGCAAATATGAACACAACGGCCTATTACTGCAGAAAGCTGAAACGTCTTGAACATAGAACATTCCGTAGCTCTAACGACCTTAACTCCTCCAATTGAATTGCAAATAGGATCTGTCAACCAACAAAAGAATGCTCTCAGTAACCAATTCTTTGGATGCAAAATTCTCGGAAACGAATCTATGTAATACGGTTTTGAAGCCTTTTACCCTTAGGAAATATCGCGAGTATTTCCTCTATAGATTCCACGAAAAAATAAGTACATATTAAAGTAGTATTGAAATTTTCTTTCAATATTAAATAATCGAAAATTCCGTTCACGTAAACAATACTCTAATATATTATTTTGTACGAAAGCAATTTAAAAGTATAGAGGATTCTTGGAAGCAATAACGTATTGTGAAGCTAAAGAAATTTAAAATGAATTATTATTAAATAAATAGATCATTTTAATATTAAATTAATAACAATTTTCTTAATTTTTGATATTGAATTTAAATTTAATTTTATGAATAAAATTTAATTTAAATAAATTCTATACTAATATTATAAAGGGGAAAGATTTTATTGTTTGTTTGCTTGTTCGAAATGGATAAACTCAAAAACTATAAAGTGATATTAGAAGTTCTTTCACCTATAGAAAGCTATTATTTTCGAAAATTCTATTTACATGTGTGATTTTGGACCGAATCGCTAGTTATTAGATAAATAAATAATTAAAAAATTAAATTAAGAAAGATTTTGTTCGTTTTAAATAATTATTAATTACAATTGTAAATTAATTAATTTACAATTCTGTTAGCATTTCCGGGGGGTCGTATCCACGACCATCAATAGGTGAATCGGTAAAGTAAATTACTATATTAACAAGTACGTTTAATAAAATTATATTACTTTTACAAATGTGAAAGTTTGTAAGAATTAATGTATAGATATTTGTTATTCTTTCACGAAAAAACTACTGAACGGAGTTAAATAAAATTTGGTACAAGGGCAGATTTTGTCCTTGACTTAGCATATGTGATACTTTATACTGATTTAGATGGGACAAACCGCAGGATACAGCTAATCAAGTATATATATCATCGTCATCATTATCATCATATCAGCCATAACATATCCACTGCTGAACATAGGCCTCCCTTTATCGGGGGATTTTACCAGTAGTCGCCATGCTTGGCAGGCAGGTTGGCAACTGCAGTTAGGTTTTGATAATATATAAAGAGGAACGCTGCTACCCATCCCTCAAACATGAAGTTCTCTTAGTAACCTCTTACAACACCACATACTTCCCACGGAAAGGGAAGGGGTGACCCATTCAGGACCATACGGCATAGAATGGGCCACCCCTATTCTCAGTTACAAGTATATACTTGGATATATTTAGTTGTAATTGTGTGGCGTCAAATCCTGAAAAAAAAAAATATAAAAATTGCTTTCTGTGTATATTTTGATCATAAAAAGAAAAATTATTTACAAATACTTTAAGTTTTAGGTATAAACATGAATTTATACTCGTATATACGATATAATGAAGGTTTATACTTAATATCATTTTTCATTATTATAAAAAAAAATATATACTGATATTTATCAAAAATATTTATAAGAAATTTTGTAAATAAATATAATTATTATATTATGATCCAATAGTACCTACTTAGTGTTATCTTAAAAAAAAATATTTAAACAGATTTTCGTTATTCAGAATTTCTTTTTTTACTTTCTATTATGTATTACCCAAATATTGGTACCACTAATAAATAGGGTATCTATCTGAAAAATATTATTAACTGCTTATCTATTAGTACTACTATTACAAAGAGAAAGACTTGATTGTTTGTTTGTTTGTTCTTTTTTTTTGTTTGTAATGGATAAGCTCAAAAATTACTTAACCGATTTTTTAAATTCTTTCACCCATGGAAAGAATTATCAGCGAGTATCTTAGACTTAAAAAAATAAGAGATTACTCGTAAAAGAAAATTACAATTACGTAACTATATAAAATAACTGTAACTATATAAAGGTATATGTGAATATTACATGAACATAATACATAATATTTGTTTTGTTAATAAATAATATTTTTTTATCTAATTAACGTAATTCGCGTATTCATACAACATTATTTTTTTATTTTATGAAAATAATTCAGAAATACATATCTGCATTTCTTGGGGTTTGATTTGCGAATGTAACTTCCTATTTATGTTCCTGTTGTCTATCCGCAAGCGATTTATCTTGTTCAAATAAAGTTTGCGAGGGACATACTGCTTGTATTATTTACGGAAAACCTCTTTCTTAGAGTTCCTATATTCGTATTCACTGTAAACAATTTTTATAGAAGTGTTCTTAAACATTTACATTTTTATTTTTGTTGTCTTGACTTGTCAATTTGTTAATAGCAAACTATTATAGAAATATTACAAATCATATTAAAATGGTTATTGTATGAAGAAATAATGTGATTATAATTTTATTAGTAAAAAAAAAAAAAATGCACTGCATTTGGAATAGCAAACAAGCTGTTGACTCCTGTGATGGTAAGTAACCATCGCCTACATGACTATATGAGTACGTTACTAAGTATGTATTTTAATATATCATTCATGTCATAAGAGGGTAAGATAGAAGGAAAGAGGGAAAGAGGAAGACCAAGGCATAGTTACATCGGGCAGATCAAAGAAAAAGTCGGTTTCGTGTCGTATCAAGAAGTGAAGAGACTTGTTGAAAATCATAGTGATTGGCAAGAGCTCCACCGACAAGAGCACAGCTCTTAAATAGAAAATGAAATTTCATAGCCAGTTAATCGATCATTCCTCAATGATCCGTCATGCGATGCCTTTTCCGAGGACAATTTTTTTTTCTGCATACCTTGTAATTTTACTGCCAAAAACTTTATTCTTTAAACTGAAGTACAGGAATCATATTGGTTGATGATATAAAAAACGGATGAGACAATATCTAATACTGGCATAGATGAACTTATAATCTCCCCCTTCTCTAGTAAATTGAGTTAATCGGTTTATTTCGTTGTTATTGTTAAACTTTCAACCATTTTGGATTAGTAGGTAGATTGTTTGAAACTTACACCTTGAACGTAGTCCCAGGAGTTATTCGAATAACGCTGTTGTTTGAGAGTTATTTTTCATTTATTATATATGCAAAAATAAATAAATATTTTTTTAAGTATTTCATCATCGTCATCAGTTGGTATCAGTCGTTATCTGTCCACTGCTGAACATATGCCTATGTTCAGCCTCATAGACTGCCATAAGGAACAGTCCTGAGCCACCTACATCCACTGACTCCCTTCAATGCATTTGAGATCATCACTCCATCTGGTGTGGGTCATCTTACACCACATTTGCTCATACAGAGTCGTCACTCATGAACCTTTATTTCCTATCAGTTGTCGGTTCTTTGAACTATATGACTCGCTCATTACAACTTTATTACTTTGGTTCTTTTGCGGATATTCTTGTTTTGGATTCAGTCACGCAAATGCGTTTTGCGTTTGTGTTTTGTTTATGCATAGCCTTCTCCATAGCTTGCTGAGTGCCTTGAAGTTTTTGTACATCGACAACCGTGTATGTTTCAGTCCCATAGATCACTGGTAACACGCATGAATATAGTAAGCAGTTGACAGAAATTTAAAGCAGTTACTAAGTTTTAAATATACAATCGGGTCTTAATGTGATGAAAAAAACCTTTGCAGGTTAATAGTACCTACACACTTGCTTTTTTATTGCCGAAGTTTCGATGATTGATTGTATCACCTTGTCACGACAGGACTAAAGTGAGCGACGTCTGCGTTTGGTAGCTCGCGTAGTCTCTTCGAGTACCTTCACACTGTCACCATTATTATCTAGGGCCAACCTACACACCACTATACTACACACTTACGGTTTCTACACACCGTTTGAACAAATTATCGCATGTTTTTACTGTAGTTTACTATAGTAGTTTTTAATGTTTTTAGGTAAATAGTTTACTTGCAAGGTTTTTTTATTGCGTTAAATCTCGATTGTGTATTTAAAATATGTGTAAACAATGCGAAAATTTAAAATTAACTACTTGTATACCGCCATCGCCGACACCATCATGCTCGCTTGAAACGGCATCGTTCGATTTTTCTGAACTAGTTACCGAAATCCGTCTCCTGCGTGAGGAGATGAAAGAGTATAGAACAGAGATGCAGGAGTTCCGTACCACAATTTCTAACCTTACTGTTACTGTAGGGTCATGTCAGCTCCAAATCGACGCGCTGACTACAAGGGTTAATGAAATGGAAAAGCAACGTTGCGAGGGTACTAATGACACTACATCTGTTTTGGAGCAGACAATTTCCGAACTCAAAATGGAACTTAATCATCGTGACCAAGAGTTACTCTGTAACGACATCGAGATAGCTGGAATCCCGGAGGACACAAACGAGCGCGGTATTCACCTAGCACTTACCGTAGCGCAAAAGTTGGGCGTAGTTTTGGAGGAACGAGACATCGTAGACGCTCAGCGTGCCGGGACATTTAAACGTACGATGAGTGACAATTCTCCGATTAGCCGGCCACGCCCCCTAGTGGTGCGTTTGACACGCCGTACACATCGCGATCAAATGTTAGCCGCTGCACGTGTCCGCCGTGACATCACTACTGCTGGCTTGGGTCTGGCCTTGGCTGACCAACGCATCTATGTCAACGAAAGATTAACTCAAACCAATCGTCGACTTTTTTATAAGGCTCGGGTGGAATCTCTTCGCGTACAGTGGAAATATTTATGGACTCGCGAAGGAAAAATTTATGTCCGTAAAGAGCACGGTTCGCCACGCCACCGTATACGCTCAGAAAATGATTTTAATAAAGTTTTTGGTTAATGTTAATGTTGGTTCTTATGTGTTGGTATAAAAGTTACAATTGTTATTCTCTTATATTACTATATATCTGCAAGACGCTGCTACTGTGTTGTAGAATTTTATTATTATTACTAAATGGTAATAGTAATGAATTTCTAACTAATTATTTTATGTTTATTTTTGAAAGGAAAAGAAGTCTGTTTTTGTACGGTTTTATTGTATACGTTTTGTTATGGAATTTTAAATTTACTGAAATGGTTTTTTTGTTGTATTTTAATATTTTATTATCTGATAATTACATTAAACCAATTTCGTACTATAATAAGTACTGGTTATTAACAAATGTAAAGTACTTCATTTGTGCTACTAAGTATATACATAAAAGATTAAAATTTTATTATATTATTTCTATAATCTACTCATTTATATTACAAAGTTATATGTTATTGTTATGTATAGGGACTACACAACTACCCAACGATGTAAGATTTGCCTATAGTTTATACACCACTAGCACTACACACAAAAATAATGATGACTTTTCAAATTATTTGACATTTTTCCACAAAATCTATATTTTTACACCAATTTATTCAGAGGACTGGCGTCACATAACAGTGCTCAGTAGATTCTTGCTGCATAGTAAACAGATTCTTATTACATATTCTTACATTTTGCAGTTCATTAAATATAAAAAAATGTCTGTTGGGTTGTTAAACCCCGGATCTCTCGGTACGCGACATGATGAATTTATTGTTGCTATGTTGAGACATGACACGGATATCGTTGCTATCAATGAAACTTGGCTTAGAGAGGGCGAGGAGGCGCGTGCACCCACAGTACCTGGATACCGATTACGTCATATCCCGCGACCCTCTAACGTGCGTGCGCGAGGCGGAGGAGTTGGGTTTTATATTAAACGAGGAGTTAACGCGCGGACTATTACTCACCCATGCGCACCTTCTGTCGAGCAAATGTGGCTGAGTCTTAATCTCAATGGTACCAAGTTAGCTATTGGAACGGCATACCGCCCGCCGTGGCTTAATGTAGATACATTTATAGATGCCCTTAGTGAATCTATCTCAACTCTGGGTAATTTTGATGATATTGTTTTGTTGGGAGACTTCAATGTAAATCTTTTAAACAGTTCTGATATTAACACAAGGAAACTTTTTGACTATTTTAATTGCATTAATCACACACAATTTGTTAAAGAGCCTACTCACTTCACTGATCACAGTGAAACATTAATAGATGTGGTATTCTCAAATATGAACGTTTCCAATGTTGATGTAAATTATATTCCTGAACTTAGTAGTCACGCATTAGTCACCTGTGTTCTTAATGTTAGAAAACTGAAACCACGTCCCAGGACGTTTACTTGTAGATCCTTAAAGAACATAGATCTTGACTGGTTTAATGAAGATGTTAATTCTATTCCGTGGGAAGATTTTAAATATGAAAATGTTAATTGTATGTTGGATGCATTTAATAGAAATATATTGGGTCTTTTTGATAAACATGCTCCGATAAAACGTATACAAATGAAACAACGTTCATATCCTTGGATAACCTACACTATTAAAGAAATGATTAATTTGCGAGATAAGGCGCATACTAGGAGTAAAGTTACTAATTTAGAAACGCACAAAAAATACTACAAAGAATTAAAAGACATTGTTAGTACAGCTATTCTTAGGGAAAAAGCCGCATATTTTAATGATAATATCAATAAAAACTTAAATAATGCACGTAACTTATGGAAAAATATCAAAAATAATGTAGTCAATTTTCACAAAAAAGATTTTGAACTTCCCGCATATTTGAATAAACCTGATAGCTTAAACCAACATTTTCTTAATCTTCCTGGAAAAGAAGATGCTGACAGTAATTTAATTGATTATTTTAAAAATAATACTTTTGGTTCTGCTGTATTCACCCTAAAACCAGTAACTGAAACCGCAGTTTACAATATAATTAAATCTTTTTCATCGAATGCGCAAGGCGCTGACTGTATAACTTTGGATATGATTATGATTACATTACCCCGTACATTAAATATAATTACTGCCATAGTAAATAAAAGTATTGAAAGCGGTGTGTTTCCTGATTTATGGAAATTAGCCAAAGTTAGACCTATTCCAAAGACGCAACATCCAAAGGATTTTAAAGATTTACGGCCTATTAATGTTCTACCTTTTATGTCTAAGGTTGTTGAAAAGGCTATTTGTATACAAATGACAAGATACCTCGAATCAAACAGTATCTTACCTAAAAAACAATCCGGTTTCAGAAAGTCTCGTAGTACTACCACTGCTTTATTGGATGTGGTGGATGATATTTTGACTGCGCGGGATGGTGGTAATGGTACAATATTAACACTGCTAGATTTCTCACGTGCATTATCACGAGACTATTAATACCTCACTCCTATTATCAAAGCTAGCCTTTTATGGATTTGATAATAATGCTTTGCGTTGGTTTGCCAGCTATCTTTACGGCCGCACACAGTATGTTGAAACTAATGATGACAGTGGCAATGTGTCAACCTCTGCTACATTATCTGTAAACAGAGGAGTCCCACAGGGATCTATACTAGGGCCTATCCTTTTTATTTTGTATACGACTGATATTACTTACACTATTCAAAATTGTAATTATCATTTATATGCTGACGACCTTCAATTATACATATCTGTAAAACCGGATACAACTGAGTCGGTAGTAAATAGAATAAATGAAGATCTGAATCGCTTAGCCTCTTGGTGTGAACAAAATTGTTTAGTTGTTAATCCCAGTAAGTCGAAGTTCATATTATTGGGCTCCAAACGTCAAGTAACTGATATTAATGCACGTAAACCACAAATCGTTTTGTCTGGAAATCATATAGAACAAGTGACATATGCACGAAATTTAGGTCTTGTTATGGACGAGAGATTACAATTCGAAAAACATATTTTGGATATCATGCGTAATTGTTTTTACAGACTAAAAGTACTGTACAGGCTGCGCGAATTCTTATCTGTTGATATTCGAATCAAACTGTGCGAAGCGTTAGTGTTGTCTAAGTTTAATTACGCTGATAATGTGTTTGGGGAGTGCCTTTTAGCTCGAACTAAGAAAATGATACAACGTATCCAAAACGCATGTGCTCGATTTTGCTTTCCTATTGCTCGTCGTGCTCATATCACTCCCTTTTTGGAACAGAATAACTTGTTAAATATGACAGCACGTCGAAATTTACATTTTGCTTCATTGCTTTTTGGCGTAATACACAGTAAAAAGCCCTCATATCTGTATGATAAATTAAATTTTTCAAAGCGTAACATAAGAATAAATTCTCTTTTACTTTGTCCACGATACAGAACAGCTGTTTTTCGTGGTAGCTTCCAGTACGCTGCTACGAAATGCTGGAACAATCTTCCACCGCCAGTTAGGAACGCCAAATCATTATTCACCTTTAAAAAACTATACAAGAATTATCTATGTACTATTTAACCTATAAATCTTACGGCAAAGTAGTTGTATATATATGTTTAATGTTTATATTTATTAATGTTATTTTATTCTATTTTGTTCTTTCTAGTATATGTGATTGGTTTGTATTTATTAGTTGTAATTTTGTTTTAATTATTATCATGAATATTATAAATAGTGCCCTCTCTCTCCCCCCCTTTTTATATATATATTTTTGGTGCCACTGAAAACCAGCTGTATGTTCACCTAGGACATACATTAAAGCTGAGTGGAGCCATTTCAGTGCATTTTTGGATGTAAAAATGATTATTTTATGTTAATTTTTAATTATGGTAAATTAAGTTTAATTATATGTACATTTTATTTGCTCATTTTTTTTCTCGTTTGTTGTTTATATTGTATTTTTTACATTGCACTGAATAAAATATTTTTCTTTCTTTCTTTCTTTCTTTCTTTGTATGTGTTTTGTTTGCATGGCTGTGTTTCGGTTTGAAGGGTGGGATATGGCGTGAATTTACAGGGTACAGAGGAATAACACCTGAGTCCTCAGGAATAGCAACGCATGGGGGGTATCACAGGCGAAACAGTCTACTCTGTTATGTCCACGGTACTGTTCATGTCTATAGGCGACGGCTACCACTTTCCATCAGGTGGGCCATCAGCTTGTTTGCCATTCTAAGTTGTATAAAAAAATTACTATGTTGTTATTTGCGACAATTGTCTTCTTCTTCTAGAAGTCGTCTGTAATGAAAGTATGGTATTATTTATATATAGGGTGTTCAACCGATATCACGTAAGTACCCATCTGGTGTGGGTGTTTACTCGTATGTAATATACGCACGTATGCATGCACGTGCATAAAAATAAAGAGTAACGTTATTTCAATATGTACATAATAATGTTTTTTTTAATAATATACTAACGCGTAACGGTTTTACACCAGCGGCGTATGTAGTAGCATATATAGTTTTGAAAAATATCGAACATGTTTGCGTGATTGGACAATTTTCTACTTAAAAAAGTCATCTAACCTCGCTTTCTCGATGCTGCGATGATTCAGGAGCAGTTCTTCTAAATATACCAATAGGCAAAGTAGATGTGTCATTTATTAGGTACTGGACTAGTAGATATATTCCAAGTAGCGTAGATGGGTTTATAATTCTAACATTAGGTTAATAAGTTGTATTACTAGCAAAATATGGACTGATAACTTTTACCCTTGACTTAGTTCGCGCGTAATATGTTATTGAACAAATAGTCTACGTATCATCATCATCATCATCATCATATCAGCCTTTAACTGTCCACTGCTGAACAGAAGCCTCCATCTTAGAGGGTTTTGCTAGTAGTTGGCACTTCTGGCAGTCGGGTTGGCAACCGCAGTTAGGCTTTAGAAATGTTTTAAGAGGGACGCTGCTGCCTATCCCTCAGCCTCCTTTAGTCGGTTCTTACGACATCCACGGGAAATGAAGGGGTAGTCTATTCTATGCCGAGACCAAATGCAATCTATCCTATACAGTACATGTATATAAAATTTTGAGTCG